GGACTATATGGCCAAAATTGATATCACGATATATTTCTTAATTTCGGTCGATACGATATAATTCCGATATCGATATGAACACTATTTATCTGAAATAGAAATCTTTTGTAACATTATAAATGCCTTTATCATCACTTTTGATCAATTTTAAGCATCCTTGCTAAATAAAAGTATTAATTTCTATAATTTCTTTCCCAAAAAACTTATAAAAATTACACTGAATGGAATAGTGTATAATGTTACAAAAGCTTTTTATTTCAGATAAATGCTGATCTTTGGATCTTTCTATTCATCAAATAATCCGCGATACATATTGATATTGAATTATTGTCCAGCCCTATGTTGGGAGGTGTGAGGTGAGGAGTTGGTCACATTGTCAGGGTGTATGTATGTTTATTAGTCTGCTATTGTGTGGGTGGGGATGTCCGATGTCAGCATTGGTTAAGTAAGGGGGCTCTTTGTGCGCCTGACCTCAAAAAAACGAAACAAAAAAAACACAAGTGACAGTTTGCTTAGATCATGCGTTAAAGCCAGCTAGTAATATGACTCAAGGTCAGAGCCTTTCCTACCCTATAGCTCTATATTTCTCTCTCTCTCTCTCCTTTTCTCCCTCCATCAGTGCTGTTTGACAGCTCCGTAGGGACAGGAATACAGCGTAGTTATGATTGAAGAGATGGCCCTCTGTCAACATGAGGTTGAACTTGATTTTTACATTTTCTGAAGAAAATGTCAAAAGTCCATGCCTGTGCATAACTCATTGGGAGCGCCAGTGATCCTCTAGGGGGCGCAAGATAACTTAAAATTAAAATATAATAAATTAACTAATTTTATGATTAATATGTTAAATAATTTAAATATATATAAATAATCAGCCACTCTCTTGTAGGCCTACGTATTCTGTGATATTCTGTGTTTCGGAGCAGCTCAAGCTGTTTTGCGCTGTGTGAAATAGCCTACAGACTAAACGGCGGCTCAAAAATGCTGTATGAGCATATATGCATACTACAGCTCGCGGCTAGATAAAAGAAGCCAGTGTTGCGATGGATGACGATTGTTATCAAGGTAAAGATGATTACAGTGACATACAGGAGTAACATTAATCACGCGTGTGTCTGTTATTATTGATGCTCAAATGAATGTGCGCTCTCGCCGTACTGATCACTATAACATCATATTTCTGCTTGAACACAGTGCACTCATGGACACGGACATCAACACCAACACCAACACCGTAGAACTAAATAAACAGGACGAATATATAACAAACATCAGTCACACATTCAATTACACGGAAAACATGCATACGGCTTTAAACTCGTAAATGAACAAAAAATACATCCACATACCACTTTTGCCTGCTTGTGAACTAAGAGAGGGGTTCACATCTTGAAGTTTCTTTCTTGGATGGCTTATATTCATAAAGAGAAACAACTTAATCCTTGTGATAACATCATTGCATCATTGCATGTGGATGACAAAACAGGAAGTGACGTACAAAGCAAGATGAGAATAACATAAAACAACTAAAACTCTTCAAAAGAATAAATATTTTCAAATAAACAATAGTTGAGTGTAGAAATCACAATAAGCATTATAAAATAACCAAAATATAAAATTATACAAATTAAACTAATCAATAGTGAAATGAGTGAGTGCTTAAGTACACAAGCGCCATCTAGTGGAAATAGATATAATCAGCTCAGATACCCTTTGTGACAGAAAATAGAAAACTTTGAGGCAGCAAATACACACGTAGTTGTCAAATTTAATGTACAGCTAGTGTTTTATGATGGATGCTTGCGTGTTTTGGGGAAGTTTGTGAGGATGGTGTTTATGTACATATGGGCATCAGACGCTCCCAACATGATCGCTTGTTCTGACAGAGGAACTGTTCACTGATGACATCAACCCACCTTCAGAGTTTCCACACATTCAGAATGTTTCCATTTTTCATTTGTATTTTGGCATGTTTAGTGATTCTGAATGGAACCGTATAGTAGTTTATTTGCAGTCCTTTGGCATCGCTCTGTGGTCTTGTTTGGTATGGCAGGTTGACGTGCTTATTTGTTAAAGTTACTGTATAATTGAGATTTAAGTTGTAAAGTATGTTTGAACACAGAATGTTTAAATCTATCTTAAAAGAGGGAAAGTGTCGGGAATGACATCTGCATGTTTATGAGTGATTCACACTAATGATAACCATAGTACTGAACTGGACAAAATTTATGAGAAAATGTGCATTAAGGTTAGAGCATCCTTACTAATTTCAGAAGCACCCTCCGTGATTTAATTCTACAACCTATCAGTAACTACTATCAAGATTATGCAAAACTGCCCTATTCCATTCAGTGCAAGTCATCAGAATAATATAAACACCATGGCTTTCACTTTTAAATTAAATTCACTTACAAATTAGCAGCAATTCAGCGTAAAGCAATTGTTCGTTTTTAGTTTGTTTGAGTTTTCCCTCTTTTCCTCAATTTCCTTAACTTTTAAATAGCTTAAAAGCACCGTGCGCATTTTACTTTCGCTTTTGAACTAGCGGCAATTCGGCGTCAATTGCTTGAATTCAGTTCAAACAACAACAAAATACAACTTCAAACTCAACTTAGCCTATATATAAATCATAGAACTTTTATTAACAAAATAATTCAAAATACACCATTCTATAGGCTATGCCTAATATAAAATAACAAATAACTTACACAAAGTTTAAATAGGTATACAAAACTGAAAATCAGCAAACATTGAAATGTAGAATGTTTATTAGCAAAACGAATAAGAAAGCTTGGAGGTATGGCATACACCTAGATGTCAAATAAAATAAATAAATTACAAGTTTAAATAAACTAAAAATCAGCAAACATTGTGGAACCAATTAAATAAGAAACTAATATTTACAAAAACTTCCAAAATCACCTTAGATAAACGGCAAAAGTCAACAGGCTTTTCAAAATCCAAAATATTGCCAAACAGCAGGGCTCTACGCTTATTTTTCTTTTTACTTAAAACTTAAAAAATTTAGGAGCACAGTCAAAAATTTAGGAGCATCTTCTAATCAATAATCCAAAATTTGATCAAAATTTGCCTTCCCATTACGAGGTGATATTTGACTCCTTGAAGTGATTTACAGTGGAATTTTGTTTTTACTTTTGTAATGGCATTTTTCTAACTCTATTAAAAGTATGTAATCTTTTATGTCAAATTTTTTATTTTTTTTATTTTATAAGCTTTTTGAAAATTCTTATTAAAACCACAGAATAAGAACAAGTAGAATAAGAAGAATAAGTTACTAATCAAATAAAATCAGTATTAAAATTAATTTGTACAGAGGTGGCACAGAAGAACACAAAACTGGCATGTAGGTGTATTTTCAGACATTTGAAGCTCCCCGCAGCGATCACAATCACAAATATGATGAAGATCTGGTCAGTCGCACTGCTGCTCCTAAATATTTTTTCATAGTCGCACGCAGTAGTTTTCAGTCGCAAATGCGACTGAAATGGTCGCACTGTAGAGCCCTGAACATTTCGTAAATCATCCGCTATCGTCTTGTCTCACCTCACTCTTCTTGTCAGTCAGCTCCACTCACTCTCCTCACGTGATAAATGAAATCTGATCTGTGATGAACTGTCGTTAGGCACGCTGCATTGAGCAGCCGCTTTCAGTTTTTAATTGTAGTGTCTGTTCTCTAACTGAATTTTTATCACTATAAAAAAATCTAATCAATGGTGGGGGACGGTGCTGCGGTGGGCAAGTGATGTAACTGGTGTTGCGACTTAACAACGGTATCACCGCCAACACCATCTATCACAGCAAGCCTAGCATGAAGGCCAACTAGTGTCACCCTTTTGAATACAGCATTATTGAGCATATACACAAGTCAGCATTTGAAGTGGATCAAAACCTTTCATCAAAGTTGTCCTAAAACCTAAATGCATTCTTATCTTAGGACAACTTTGATTAACTTTTTTGATCCACTTCAAATGTTGACTACTGTATAAAATAATATCTATGCTTTTTGGTTTCTAGGGTATTTGGTAGGGTGGTTGCTAGACTATTCTGGATAGTTGCTTGGAGGATGCTTGGGTTTCTGGTTTATTTGAATCTCTAATAATCAGCCATAGTAGAAAAAAGCATTTATATGGAAGTGAAGCCACATAAAAGCCTGTGCTGTGCCATTTACGGCCTGACAAATGTGGCATATTAAATGCATATATAGCTCATTTCATTTCACACAAGAGCAGCAACAGCAGCTAAGTTAAGAATTGGCTATTTCCAGTCATGATGTGAAGAGCTCCATAAAGCCATGATGTTTTGTGTTGGGTAGAAAGTCTGCATTATTCAAAGGTGTGAATCACGTATATTAAATTGTATTGACTTTGAGGCATACCCTATACACGCTAAAGCGAAAGTGACAAGGCTTGCCTCAAAATCACTTTATTTTCCATGCCTCATGTTTTTTGCATGCTGTACAGCACCTTTTGCCCCACATAATGTGTGAGATTTAGTGGTTTGATGAGATCTCTGGAGGAAGAGCCATGCCATTAATCGAATAATTCATCGGTCCTCCATTTGCAGCTTTTTAATTGGCCGGTGAATGTTCGTGAGCCCTGGATGAACCCCAGTGGGTCGGCTCTCTGAGGAGTCTAGAGTCTGACCCGCAGTTATTAAGAAAAGGGCTGAAGTGTTTGCGTTTAGGTGTCTCTGGCAAACTGCAATAGCCTGTGTCATTCAGTCCTGCCACGGCCTTTTCACTGTGCCTGCTGTATTATGTCAGAAATCAGATAAATGCCTTTGAAACATCTGTCATATTGTTACAAACGTCAATCACGGAGGAGGTGGAATGGCTCATGAATAAACCCACCTGTTGAATTATGGATGTTATAGCAGTCAATCGTGCTATATTCTTTCCTTCTCTGTGTGCAGTGGCTAATGCTTTCTTTCTCATCTCTTCTCTCTCTCTCTCTCTCTCTCTCTCTCTCTCTCTCTCTCCCCAGGCCCTTTCCATCAGAGGACACAGCACTGAATGAAGATGATGTGTACCGGAGCTTGGAGGAGCTGGCAGAGTAAGTGTTTTAAATCATAGAAACAGAATATAATGGCAAGGAATCACTGGCTATTAGGGTTCTTTAAGGTGTGGTCATATTTCAGTGAAATTTTGTGGGCAAAAAAAGATTCATTGTTTATTATCAATAGTGTAGAGAGGTAAGAAGTCACTTTCAAACCAAGAAGCTTTCTGTTGGTCACCACAGCAATTTTGTGACCAATGTGAATGAGCATTATCTGCGTGGGGAACTTTTTTGCAAAACTGTACACTTGGATTTCTTTTGAAATGACTACAAAATTTCACCAAGAAACTGTAAATGTGACCACACCTTTTTTTCACCTTTAGTGACATTATTCCAAACAAAATGTACTCTCCTAAGGTCACACAAATGTGCCATTGTCACATAGTACTTGATATTTTTCTCGGCCGTGATCGGCATGAACCAACAACATTAGTTTGTGATCACTAGATAAGCATTAGGATTGTTTTTTTTTTGTGATTTCTGGGATGTATTTCCATTTGTATGTCAGTACTACTAATCCTTGGAATTAATTTGATTTAAAAACGATACTTTATAGTGTGATAATGCCATGAGTAATCAAAATGTCCTGGGATTTATATGCATTATATGCAATCAATGCTTTAGTTTCCAAGCTCTTATGTGCCCACTTGAGGAAGACTGCTTTTGTGTTTTATAGGAAATAGGTTATGCCACATTCAAGACAATGTCAGAAGTAGCAATACTCAAGTTGAAATTTCCTGCTTCCAACCTCTAAGCATTAGAGTCATGCTATTTGGAATTCTCTGACCTCCTCCTGAAATACAATGGACCATTGCTTTATTTGTTGGCATCTTGGAAATCGTCAAATGATGAAGTCATTGAATTTGCCCAGGCTGACCTGAAGTTGGATGTCCTAGTGTGCTGTTCCAGTGATTATTTTAGGTGACTAGGACGTGGTAGAATTCCAAGTTCAGTGTTTATGGAGTGCTGCATTTATTAGTTAACTAACTGAATCCAACTGGAATGTAATGAAATTATTTATTAGTCACATCTGCACCCCACCATCCTAGTCTCTGACTGGTCCAGTAACCCTGGTACAAATAGCCAGGCGGTAAAAGCTCTTCCGGTTACCATGGCAATGCCATGCCATGCTCAGAGCATGGCAGGATGGCAGTGTGGGCTTTAAGAGGAGTAAGGGAGAATGAGGGAGGGGGTTGTGACAGTGGTGACAGGCCTGATTCCTCGCTGATTAATTGTGAATAATTAGGCAGCTGGGCGGATAGGTGTCATTCATCAGAGGAGGACGGCGTGATACAAGCATGTTAGTGCAGACTGCATACATTAAACCTCTCACAATGCCTGTTACAAACTTCTGTGGAGCTGTAAATGGAGATGAGCTCATGTCAGACCTCAACAGTCTCCATTAAATAGCAGCCCAAAGAAACACAGCCTGTGTGCGTGTTGTTTTGAGCCATTATAAAGTGAGGGAAGACAATCATTGCAAATAAAAACAAGGCCTTGAGGGACCGAAGTGTGATCTGTCCTGGTGGTCTATACCTAATTTGTCACAACCTTGTTTTGTTGGAGGATTTTTATTGGGCATTACAAAGAAACATGGCAATTGAGGGGGGACAGGATCAGGCTGGATTTGAACCTAGGATCTGGACTAGAGGTTTTGCTACAATGTATCCTTCTGTAAACATAAGGGATGAACAGAACTGCTTTATGCTACATATAAGAGCAACAAAGAAACATGAAGTAATGCAAAAAGATGAGAAAGAACTTAAAGGATACTGGTAATGTCTGCACCACGTTGACCCTAGTTCAGGGCTTAACACTGCGAGAAATTTTTGGGCCAGTTGGGCTACATTGCCACAGAAAAACATACATTTATTGATTTGTTTTTATGACTGTCAAACTTGGGTATATAGTTTTTCTTAGATTTATTCTTCAATATTGCTTCAAATTTGGTTGATTTGACACCAAGAATGTTATCAAGCTGGGTCACATAAAGGTTTTTTGATGGTTTAAAAATGACTTGTTGAAAGCACCAAATCAGTATTATTTTGCATTGTATGCCATTGTTTTCAAAGATTGTTAATGAATTTATTCCTATGAATTTGTAAAGTAGTTTTTTTTTTGTGATTTTTTTTTTGGGGGAGAATTTTTTTAAATAATTTAAAATATTTTTTAAAATATATTTAAATTATCTTCTCTTTGCAAAAAAATTACATTAATACATTTTAGAAGTATTTTATTCAGTGGATTATCCACAAATAGTCAACATTTGTAATATATAAACAATAAACAATTTTTTTCATTCATTTACCAGTGAAAAGCACTGGAAATCTGTAAGCAAAAGTCTTTTTTATTATTATTTTATTTTTACCTGGAGGGGCATAATCCCAGGTACAAAACAGAACAGACTGTTCCTCCATCTCTTACTGCTACTTTTGTATTTGTGTCAAATTAAATATGCAAAAAAAAAAAAAAAGTTTTTTTTTTCAGGCCATTCCAGCTAACTCTTCAAAGACATTCTGAAGTCATTCTGGCATTTCCAAAAATACCTCATCTGTCAGCTAGCTATATACCTTCACCTTAGGGCTGCACGATTAATCGAATGCGATTTTCTGTGATTAGTAGTAAATCTCCATCACGTGCTTTCAGATGGAGCAGTACTCCAAACTCACTTCATAACGTCAGTCATGTGTTTGAAGTTAATAATACTGTCTGATGAGATGATGAGATGATGTGGCTTCTTACACAGAATAAGGCACGCAACATATTTCATAGTATTCTAAGCAGTGATAAAGGCTATGTCGATTAGCATTGCATTATTATATACTTTTATTATAATAAAAATTATAATAAGACAAACTCTGATAAACCATATATTGGCGTAGTCGTGTGTTTATTAGTCACATTGAATTAATCAAAGCAGTTAAATCTTCTGTTTATTCAGCAACCGCTATAGGGATTTCCTGGGTTTCTTCTGCGAGACGTATTTAGAGTTTCAGCGTGAAAGCGCCCTCTGGCCTTCGGATGGAGATTTACTGCTGATCACAGGACCGTGCTTCACTGAAAGATACGCATGGCAATCACAGCTTCTGCCTAATCGCGATTTATCGCCTTTGCGATTTAATTTCGATTAATTGTGCAGGCCTACTTCACCTTGTTGACATATTTACTGTTGACATATCAGAATTCATAAAACAGCAATTTTCTATACGTCACTTTAAATCCAAATGTTTAAAGATGCAAAGCATAAAAACATTATAAACAAATGTAAAAACAGTTCTGTCAACTGACCCAAAACTTTCTCCCTGGCCCCAGGCCTTTGAGCCACCTTTACTGCTGAGTCCTGGTATATGTGAGGCCATATATGGACCTTTGACATTTCCACTGTCGACGGCCTCTTGCACTGATCCGTATCGACATTAGACACTGCTTGATATAGCCTGAAGTGATTGCTGACCTCTTTCAATGTTCTTGATATCTCTATGCTATCTGATCCCTCTTTACATGCAGATTCATGTTGAAACACTTTTCAGTGCCTAATCTAATAGAGGTTAAAACCACGCCCAACGCACAAGCACTCACTGCACCACCGATGATGGAACAGTGAATTTGAGCGAATAAATGAAGATACCCATCCATGCGGACCCATGACCTTTTACAGCCGTAAATATGGTTCAATTCCACCACAACGCTGTCGTCTGATTAACGGAAAGGTCCCCGATATGATGCGCCGGGACACAGTTTAACAAGCACTTTCATCAGGCTGCTCGGAGCACTCTTAATTGGACTTGATATCATTGTCTGCTTTAATGGAAATGTGCATGAAAGGGTGTGCTGCAGTGCTTCTGAACCTCAGAAATCATGTGGCTTCAATAGGTTTATTCACATAAGCCCTGTGTCTGTTTCTATTAGATTGGAGATGTTTTTCAACATTGTGCCGTAAATGGGGCCAAATGCAGTGCGAATGAGAAGACTGCTGATTGTACTCAATAATAGTGTTGTATCTTTCGGTTATTGAAGTAAAGAGCGTGGTTCACTTCAGGAGATAAAAGGTAGAAAGTGCTAATCAAGGCGCTTTTGTGAAACGTTAATGGTGTTGAAGAAGCTCTTTGGTCGGGCTTACTCTTGAATGTGAGAAATGACTGAGACACTCCTCTTCAAAAGAACATTCAAAGACAGACAGCATTCACTCATACTGCTTACGGCCAGCAGATTTAAACTTTATGAGATTTATGAGACTGTGAGGGATGAAAGTACAGTCAGTTTTTTTATACTTTCTTTCTTCCCATTTAATGTGAGCATGGGGATTGACAGACTCAGTATGATCATCTGAAAGACTACATAGAACAGTTTCTGAACTAAAGAGATTTAATAACTTTTTTTAAATATAAATGCAAGTTTTTTCTTTGTTGCTTTCTCAAGCCTGTAAATGTCCCATCATTGGTCAGTGTGTTTGCTACAGTGGTTCAAAAGGGGAGCTCCATCACAAACTATTGCGTTTATTTTCCACACACCTCTGTATTTTGACATGTTAACGGGTGCTGAACCAGGGACTGTGGTCTTGAGTGCTGTGTATTCAGGTATGCACTCATCCGAACTGACTGCTGTTGGTAATTCAGTGATATAAATGTGCCAGGGTTGTTAATTCTGATTTATTATCTGTGAGTAATCTGCGAGTTCACATCCAATCCAGCCCTGTTAGATTTCCCAGCATCATCATCTCTTTCCGCTATATTTAATGTGATCATCCAAAAAACTGACAAAGCATGAAATTGTTCAATTTTAGCAAGCAGACTGTGTCCCTTTCTCTATCAAATAGCAATCATATGTCTGGATGTACATCATGTCAGCAATGATTTACTTCATCCTAACTGGTTGCTGCTATGTTACATTCTCACCTGAGGCATTGTGGGTAGTGGAACCTCAGGCTAAAGCACTCTGAGCTTCCAGGAGGGACAAACGACTGCCATTGGCACCTGTCTCCCCTGGCACCTCAGACT